TTTAGAAAGATGGTAACGATAACCCTATATGCAAAACAGAAAAAGAGACTCAGATGTATAGAACAGACTTGTGGACTCTGGGAGAAGGCGAGGGTGGGATGTTTCAAGAGAACAGCATTGAAACATGTGTATTATTTAGGGTGAAACAGATCACCAGCCGAGGTTGAATGCATGAGACAAGTGCTCGGGCCTGGTGCACTGGGAAGACCCAGAGGGATCGGGTAGAAAGGGAGGTGGGAGGAGGGATCGGGATGGGGAATACATGTAAATCCATGGCTAATTCATGTCAATGTATGACAAAAACCACTACAATATTGTAAAGTAATTAGCCTCCAAATAATAAAAATAAATGAAAAAAGAAAAATAAATAAATAAATCTTTGTAGCCCCTAATATAGTAGGCCCTAGTTAAATATTTGTTTAATTTATAAATTGAACTTTGTCTTTCTTTCCCTCTGTATGCCTAGCCAGAATGAAAGACAATGTACCAAGTTTGAAAAGACTAGGGGAAAGTCACATTATGCACATAATAAATGACTCCCCCAGAGCAGAAAAAGAAAATCTCTAGAATTGCAGCCAACAAGTGAAGCCTGAAACAACTTGAGGGGCTCAAGCTAAGCCTTTGCCAGAGGTATCTGTGCTTAGCCATTGTGAAAACTAGGGAAACTTCCAACGCCTCTGCTTAGATGATTTAAATGCCAAGACCTGTCAGATCTTGAATACTAAAGTTAAAACAAGTATAATACTTTCTTTAATCGCTCTTTTAAAGTCACTCTTTTCAATAATACTATAGACTACAAATCTGTGAGAGTTTGATTTTGTCCTTCTTTCTGGATATAAACAATTAATGAAATGGTTCTTAATCAGAATTCAACCAAAGCAATTGGTTAAAATTTTTTACTTGAACAACTTTCAATTCACCAGTGTTTGGTGTGAAAATATGTTAATATAGAATTAAAAACAACAACAACAACAACTCCCCCTTCCCTGAAATCCCACCAGTGTCAAAATATTCTGACTCTGTTACATATCCACACATACCCTATGGGTGCTGAATGAACCACATTGAATTGAAATCACAGTTACTCTAAAGCTGGAAGGAGCTTGTGGGTCATTCTCACCTGAGCCTGAGCCTGAGAAGTGAATGAGGTCACAGTTGTGTGATGGAACAAACCCTTTATTGGATTCTTGATCTGATTGAAGCCCAGAAGTTATAAGTAGCACCACTTAGAAGTAGGTAAATATCCAGATTTTATAGGAATCTGTGAGGAGTCCTTTTTTTTAAAGTCTATTATCTCAGTGAGAGATTGAAGGTAGTTTTTTAAAGTAATGGTTATTTTGAGCCATGAGGATGATTTCACAGCACCTTTCAACTGCCTAAATTGTCAAGCCTCTCCAGAGTTCCCAGCTCTGTGGTAGGTTTCTAGATTTTTGAGCACATGTAGTTGAGTTATTTAGAAACAACAGTTTTCCAGATAATGAGATAAAAACTTCAGAAAATTGAACTCTAACCAAACATTAGAGACTTTTTCTTCATGGTTTAATAATATATGGTAGTCTACTATTGCTAAGTCAGGACTCTATATTAAAAAGAGAAAAAGATCAACAATAAAAGGGGGAAACCCTACCAGCCCAGCTTCTGGTCCACAGGTCCTGATTTTTAAGCTATGCAGAAGTAGAAAGGAAGGACTAGGAAGGCCATAGTGGTTGAGAGTCCATTCAGGAGGCTCTAGGGTAGCAAAACAGTATTATATCCCACACCTATTCTTACTTTTAATAAAGACCAATGGGTTCATAAGAACTGATTGGGCAGGGCTGGACCAGAAGGAACCTCTGGGAAAAGCTACTTACTATCAGGTAGCTATCCAAGACACAAACAAGTAACAAATTGCAAATGCTATAACATCTTGAGATGAAAAATAAAATTTTTCTTTAAATAATTTTTTCTAAATATTTCCAGGATGCTTTACCACTCATTTTTATATAGGATCAGAATAATACTAATATTTTCAGGGGGCTTCCCTAATAGCACAGATGGTAAAGAATCCACCTGCAATGCAGGAGACCCCAGTTTGATTCCTGGGTCAGGAAGATCCGCTGGAGAAGGGATAGGCTACCCACTCCAGTATTCTTGGGCTTCCCTTGTGGCTCAGCTGGTAAAGAATCCATCTGCAATGTGGAAGACCTGGGTTCAATCCCTGGATTGGGAAGATCCCCTGGAGAAGGGAACGGCTACCCACTCCAGTATTCTGGCCTGGAGAATTCCATGGACTGTATAGTCCATGGGGTCACGAAGAGTCAGACACGACTGAACGACCTTCACTTCACTATGAAGGAGGAGCAATGGCAAGAAATTTTGCTTAGAGATTTTGGGATACTAAAGGGGCCTGTCCACATGGCCTTCCAACTCCCAACATTCACATATCTCTAACTTGCATTTGCACATATTATCATTCTTTGAGGCCCAGGACTTGAAACTCCAGGTCCTGAGCTGGGAAAGTTGTAAAAGTATATAAAGAAATTAATCTGTGATTTGATCCTTAATGGTATCTTCTGAATTCCAGACAGAGTTACTGGCCACATGGCAGTTTCTGAAACTAAAGCAAAATTTAAACTGAATCCTTTAACAAAAGTACCCAGCTTCCAAAGTAGGAGGTAAGTTATGAATTAAGATGATCTATATATTAAGATAAAGAATTATTAAGGTGGTGAATATACTAGATACATAAAGGCTATAATGAAACAAGTGAGAAACCTCCTCAGGGATCCATTCTGTGATAAAGTTAATTATAAAACAAAACATCTGAATTGAAGATAAATATTTTTTATGAAAAGAAATATATATATCCTTTTGACTAGAGAAGCAAAGAGGGAGAATCCCTTAGTGGTACAGTGGTTAGGACTCAGTGCTCTCACTGCTGAGGGCCCCGGTTTGATCTCTGGTCAGGGAACTGAAATCTCACAGGTTGTGTGGTTCAGCAAAAAAAAAAGAAACAAGAGAGTTCTCCCAAACAAGAGGCTATTTTTGTGTGCCGGGACAGAATACTCCAGAGGGCTAGAGGTTGTCAGTTACACATTAAGACATATTAAGTATCAGTTTAAAGGAGAACAAGTTTAGAGGATAATAAACTCCTAAGCGTCTGAATATAGAAAAAGAGTATGTAGCTCAAAAATGGCCAGTAAAATGGAATCTGGTAAATTAACTCTGACTAACCTTGGGCTAAAGTTGGGATGGGGACTTCCCTGATGGTCTACTGATTAAGACTCCAAGGGGGTTCAATCTCTGATCCGGGAACGAAGATCCCAAATGCCAAGTGGTTCAAAATATAAAAAATAAAGTGAATTTTAAAAATAAAATTGGGAAGGGAGGTTTGCCTGTGACATTAACAATAGCTTTTTCTCAATCTGATAACTACAAATTCCAATAAACAGTAACCACTAATGACTGAAAGTAAAAGTCTGGTGCAAATTTTATCAGATCATAAGTCGAGAAGCCTCTCTCCTCTCTCACAATTATCCATTTTCCTTGTCACTTTTAGAGTATTTCTCCTAATGTCCTTAACCATGCCTTTGCTACAGGAATGTATTACTAACTTTCTTTATTGGGACACGGGTAAGACAACCTTGTGTGTGTGTGTGTGCATGCACACATGCACACACACACACACACACGTGCTCATTTGCGAACAACTCTTTGTGACTCCATGAACTGTAGTCTGGCTGTCCATGGAATTTTCCAGGCAAGAATACTGGAGTAGGTTGCCATTTCCTTCTCCAGGTTATCTTCCCAACCCAGGGATTGAACCCGAGTCTCTTGAATCTCCTGCACTGGCAGTCAGGTTCTTTACCAGCTGAACCACCAGGGAAGCCCTCAAGACCTTAGAGCAGCCAGATTCCTTGATCTCATTGTTCCCCTTACCCTTCATTACAAACTGCCTTTTGAAGTGGTGACTTCCTTGTCACTGAAAGTAGTCAAGCAATGATTAGATAATATCACATGTAGAGGGAATTCCTACATGAGATGAGAAGCTATACTGGGTTCATTCCAAATCTGAAGTTTTTTGAACCTTTGAAACACTGTAAAATAAAATAATTTTTTGAGTAAAAAAAAAAAACCATTTCTCATCTTTGATCCAAGATAAGGTTTGGAATTCTGCCAAGAGTATGTTTTTTTTAATGTAAATAATAAAGACTTCATAGAACTATTCAACTTCAGCTTCGTCAGTGTTACTGGTCGGGGCATAGAATTGGATTACCATGATGATGAATGATTTGCCTTGGAAATGAACAGAGATCATTCTGTCGTTTTTGAGATTGCATCCAAGTACTGCATTTTGGACTCTTGTTGACTCTGATGGGTACTCCATTTCTTCTAAGGGATTCTTGCCCACAGTAGTAGATACAATGGCCATCTGAGTCAAATTCACCCATTCCAGTTCATTTTAGTTCGCTGATTCCTAAAATGTCAATGTTCACACTTGCCATCTCCTGTTTGACCACTTCCAGTTTGCCTTGATTCATGAATCAAGGTTGACCTAACATTCCAGGTTCCCATGCAATATTGCTCTTTACCACATCTGACTTACTTCCATCACCAGTCACATCCACAGCTGGGTGTTGTTTTTGCTTTGGCTCCGTCTCTTCATTCTTTCTGGAGTTATTTCTCCACAGATCGCCAGTATCACACTGGGCACCTTCCTACCTGGGAACTTCATCTTTCAGTGTCCTATCTTTTTGCCTTTTCATACTGTTCATGGGGTTCTCAAGGCAAGAATAAGGAGGTGGCTTGCCATGCCCTTCTCTAGCAGACCACAACCTGTCAGAAGTCTCCACCATGACCAGTCCATCCTGGATGGCCCTACACAGCATGGCTCATAGTTTCCCTGAGTTAAACGAGGCTGTGGTCCATGTGATTAGAGTGGTTAGTTTTCTGTGACTGTGGTTTCAGTCTGCCTGCCCTCCGATGCCCTCTCTCAGCGCCTACTGTCTTACTGGGGTTTCTCTGACCTTGGACGTGGGGTATCTCCTCAGCCGCCTGCTGCTCCAGTGCCATGCAGCCACGGCTCTTATGTAGGTAAGATGGAATCAGGAGTAACAAGAACATGTATTGGAGGAAATAACTTTGTTCCTTCAGTACAAATCTGGAGAGGGAGGCCAGTGAGGAGGATAAATGAACAAGATATCATGTGATGTGGAAGGGAGTTAACATATCCTTTTGCAAGTGATAAGAAGCTATCAAAGAAACTTACTATAAAGAAGGAAGCAAACAATGAACTATGTTAGAAAGTTCAGTGGAAAAGGCAGATTGGAGTGGGCCCAGGAGTGTTTGCCTAGAAGTACCTTGTTTCTATTCTATATGATCTTCCCTTTTAAAAAAAGTCCAAACTGTACAATTTCAAACTTTAAAAATATTCTGAAATTTGAATTTTTCAAGAATCTTCATCTTTCCCTCCACATACATTTTCTCCTGATAGGCCCCGTGTGTGTGCTGTCACAGATGTGACCCCATGCACTGTAGCCTGCCAGGCTCTTCTGTCAATGGAACCTTCCAGAGGATACGGGAGTGGGTTGTCATTTACTACTCCAGGGGATCTTCCCAACCCAGGGATCAAACCCATGTCTTTTACATTTCCTGCATTGGCAGGCAGATTCTTTACCACCGTGCCACCAGGGAAGCTCCTTATAGACCCTATGGCAGTACAAAACAATAATTCCACTAACTCAGTCAAACTATCTCAGTAAATAAATAATCATGCTACAGCCTGCTCCTGTCCAAAGGAAAAATTCTTCTAGTTTTGTTTAAAGATAATTAAAACTTTATTTTTTTTCAGAAAACCGAAGTAATTGATTCAACAATAATAACAGTTTGAGCATGCAGCAAATCATTTAACATCTAATGTTTAATCTTCTTATCATGATGTAGACAGTTTATTTTCATTCCGATAAAGTTTCCACAAGAAGAGTGTAGTGATAATAAATGTATTTAATTAAAGGTACTTNTGAAAAGACCCTGATGCTGGGAAAGATTGAAGGCAGAAGGAGAAGGGGACAACAGAGGATGAGATGGTTGGATGGCATCACTGACTCAATGGACATGAGTTTGGGTAAACTCCAGGAGTTGGTGATGGACAGGGAGGCCTGGCGTGCTGCGGTTCATGGGGTTGCAAAAGTTGGACATGACTGAGAAACTGAACTGAACTGAATTAAATAAAGACATGAGATGATTCCCTTAAGGAGGGCCTGACAACCTACTCCAGTGTTCTTGCCTGGAAAATTTCAAGGACAGAGGAGCCTGGTGGCCCCCAATCCATGGGGTCACAAAGAGTCAGACACAACTGAGTGATGGAGCATAATAAGACTTGCATTGCCTGGCCTTATACTTTCCTCTTGCTTCTTGAGATCTTCATATTTCTCCATCTACTGTATCATTTATATCATGTGAAAATAATCTATTTATATTTAGAATTATAAACAATGAATATAAAATAACCGGAGTAAAGGTATCAAGTCAGTAATAAAAAGCAAACACCAGAAGAAATCAATGTTAGCAAAAGCTGAGAAAATAATACTAATTAGATCAAATTCCATGTCAAAAATGTTTGAGACTGGTGCATTTTGAGACCTTATCACCTTCTTTTTTCCCAGGTCCCTCTTTAAAAATGAGCTGATGAATTAACTAGATACTGTATAGGATACTAAATTCATAAACCATAATTTTTTAATCTAACTTCCATGTTTATATTTCTTCTAGTTTTACTTTTTAAATTTATTATTGTAAAAGCACAAAAACTAAGAGATTACGTATTTCTTAAAACCTTTAATTCTACTAGTATCAAAACTAAATGTTGGGAGGAGATATATGTATACTTATGGTAGATTCACATAGTTGTTCAGAGACTAACATAATGTTGTAAAGCAATTATCCTCCAATTAAAAACATATTTTTAAAAAACACACAAAAAATTTTTAAACCAGATATATTTTAAATAAAATATATCCATAAAATTGTGTTTATTATAAATTTATTATTAAGTGACCATAATATTAGTAATCCAATTTTGCATAATACATTTCTATGTTCCTAAAATAATAATACATCACTGCAGATATTTATAAAATATCCCCAAAGTATTAATCTTCTCCTTTTTTTCAGATATTATTTTCTGAGGAAACAACAGGTCATCCAGGGTTCCAAACTTTTCAGAACTGTTCTCTCTTGATGAGAGAAGTTAATAGATAGATCCAGTTGGCATGAGACACTGAGCAGCAGGGGGAGGTGGGAGATTGGCAGAAATCAATCTACTGCTATCTCCCCATGTGCTGGTAAAAATACAGTTTGGCAAAGTTGTAAAATATACATGAAAGCAAAAGTTTGGCTATAAGTATATTCATCATAAATAAGATTATTTAAACATTAAAAATTTGAAACAACTTCTATTTCTAACAATAGGAATCATGTAAGGCTTATATTCTTCAGCACTGGAGTCAAATAAACCTGGATTTTAATCCCAGGGCTTCCATTTATTATCTTTCTGACTCAGGACAAGTTATTTAATCCCTCTGAGCCTCAGTTTCCTCTTGTAAAATGGAAGAAATCAAAAATTTTAAGGGGTTAGGGTGATGGGCAAGTCTAGGACAGAAGAGGACCTCCATGGCCAATATCACTGCCCATCCTGTAGCTATTGGCAATTGACAGTAACAGGGCCCTTAGGTAGTGTGACTTGATATATTTTGATAGTTACAGGCACTCCAGTCAGCAAAAACTGATGAATGAAACTAATATTTGCTGGTTTCAATACACATCTCTTTTCTCAGGGATAAAGATTTACCAGGACTTCTGCCATGTCAATTACAGCACAAAGAAAGGAAGTTGAGCCCTTCACAAATGCGAGGTAATGAGAACCATGCTCTAATTAGTATGAATCAACTAATTAGTATAAACATCTAATTAGTATAAACAACTGTGAAACAAGTTGTTTCATAGGGGTATATATGAACAATTCTAAAACTATTGTACATCTATACATAGGTTGAATATGTAAGTGACTGAATGGTAGATTGTGGGATCCAGGTTTCTCTCTGTTGGAGTGAGAGGTTTCAGATAAACAAGGGGAGAAGGCTAAAGTGAAACAGTGGAACTGGATTAGAGTTAGATGTCAGTATAAACTCATGTTTAGCTTAATATGGATGCAGATGGATAGATCAAGAAATAGAGATATGTGTATGTACATGGGTTAGTATATGTGCATATACTTGCTAGCTCTGCTTGCTGAGAAGGCAGAAGCACTGACACCCTCATAGACACAAGCATACCTAGCACCCAGATCTTGATTTCCAGTGTCAGTGTTCTGTCAAAGAACCAGAGTTCCTTGGACAAATGGCTGATTCGAGGGCTTGGATGGAGAATATACAAGATGAACATGGAATATCTTGCAGTGCCAGAAAGTTAGGAGATGCTCAAAATACAAAAGAACAGGAGCATGTCAAAGGGATACAGAAGGCAACCTTCAAGAGCTCACAGCAGCCAGAGCTGGAACAATTTGAACAATAAAAATGAATACTATTGGATTATAACTCAAAGCATAAAGAAAAATTGATGTCCCTAATGACAAAATAAATGAGTTTTTTTAAATCAAGAAGATACCAATCTCTCTTACAAAAGAAATCCAATAATGTATTAAAAGGTACTACCTCTTCCAGGAGGTGGAGCTTAAGTCCCTGCTCCCCGGGCCCTCTGTGCCTTTAACTTGACTGCCTTTAGTGACTTCCTTCCAAAGAGGAGAATCTGAAAAAGAAGGGAAAGTCGTTTACACTGGGAAAGTCTGACAAGCATTACCTCCTCAGTCATAAATCATGCTGATAGCCTTGACATAATGATGAGAACACCACTTCACTTCTGTGGTTTTCCTTCCCCAAACCCATAATCTCGGGCTAACCATGAGAAAATCAGCAGAAAAACCCAAATTGAAGAACTTCCACAAAACACCTGAATAACACTCCTCAAAACTGGCAAGAGTGTCAGCGGAAAAAAAAAAAAAAAGAGGAAAGACTGATAAACTGTTAGAGAGAAGAGGCCAAAAAAACATGACAACTAAATGTAATAATGTAATGTGGGACAGGATCCTGGAACAGGAAAAGAGTGGAGGGAAGAACCAGTAAAATCCAAATAACGTGTGCAGTTTAGTTACTAGTACTACACCAATGTTGGCTTTGTGATGTGACAAATGTACTATAGTAATGTTAGATGTTAATGATATAGGAATCTACAGGAACTCTCTGTGCTCTCTTTGCAACTACATCTAAAACCAATCTGAAATAAAATCAAAAATAAATTTTGAAACCTAACCCCACATAACATCACCTCTCTGACCTCTCCTACTCCTTTCCTCTAGCTCACTCTGCTCCAGGCACGCTAGCATCCTTGCTATTCCTGGAATATGCTGGGCCCATTCCCCTAGGATCTTTGCTGCAGCTCTTTCCTCTGCCTAGCCCTCTCTTCCCTTCCTCCAGATACCCACTTTCTCACCTTTCAAGTCTTTGCTCAAATCTTACCTTTTAATACAAGCAACGTATCCCTCAATCCCTAGAGATCCCAAACCCCCGACCCTGTGTTACTTTTTCTTTTCCATAGCACTTACCACCTCCTAACATGCTCTCTGACTTACCTATTTATTACATTTGTATAAAGGCAGAATCTTTGTTTAGTGCACTAATGTACCCTAGGCACTTAGAGCAGCACCTGGCACATAGAAGGCATGTAGTAAGTATTTGTTGATTAAGCTTCATGAATGCCTACTACATGCCAGAAATACTGGGAGAAAAAAAAAAAAAAACAGGTCAGAGATAGTTCCAGCCCTTGAGAAGCCTGCCTTATATCAAAGGAAAAAGATGTTAATTTTTCACATAACTATAGAGCAGTAATTTCTATAGAATTAATCACTCTTGTACATAGAGGCACTAAAACTCGAATGTGATATGAAATCTTTTATTCTGGTGCCTCTTAGAGACTACCTTGTTCTGGATTGAGCCCTTCATTTACTAATTTTGGGCTTTCCTGGTGGTTCAGATGGTATAAAGTCAGCCAGCAAGGCTGGAGACCTGAGTTCGATCCCTAGGTTGGGAAGATCCCCTGAAGAGGGCAGTGGCAACCCCCTCCAGTATTCTTTTTTTTTTTTTCAACTTATTTTATTTTTCATTTATTTTTATTAGTTGGAGGCTAATTGCTTTGCAATATTGTAGTGGTTTTTGCCATACATTGACATGAATCAGCCATGGATTTTCATGTGCTCCCCATCCCGATCCCCCCTCCCGCCTCCCTCCCCATCCGATCCCTCTGGGTCTTCCCAGTGCACCAGCCCTGAGCACTTGTCTCATGCATCCAACCTGGGCTGGTGATCTCCAGTATTCTTGCCTGGAGAATTCCATGGACAGAGGAGCCTGGTGGGCTATAGTCCCTGGGGTTTCAAAGAGTCGACCAGGACTGAACAACTAACACTTTACTAATTTTAGAAAATGTATACCTAATTTTGACTCCAGTTAATGCCTTGAGTATTTCTTTGAAAAAACTTTGAGTCTGTACAGAACATTCAGACCTCACAGTTCTATGTAAGTCAGAAGTCAGATGGGCTCTCCTGGTTCCTCTTCCCTGGGGTCTTACAAGGCCAAAATGAAGGTGTTGGCCAGCCTGGCCTTTTATCTGGAGGCTCTGGAGGAGCATCCACATAGTGGCTTGTTCAGGTTTTTGGCAGAATGCAGTTCCTTGCAGTCATAGGGCTCAGGTCCCAACTTCCTTACTGACTGATACCCAGGAGTCTCTCTCGGTCCCTTAAGTCTACCTGAATTCCACATCACCTTCCCTCTCTATCTTCAAACCAGCAACAACCTGTCAAATCCAGCTGCTTTGAATCTCTCACTTCTGCCACATCTCTCTTGCTTCATAAGGGATCCATTCAGATAATCTAGGAAATCTACCTTAATTACATCTGCAAAATCCCTTTTGTCATGTAAAGTAATCCATTCACAGGTTCCAGGAATTAGGGTGTGAACATTTTTCAAAAGCCATTTTTGCCTACATTTTGCTTTTCCAACAAGTAGTTTAATCTAGTTCAAATCTCATGGAAGGACACTGTCCTTTATAAGAAATGCCCATTAAGTACACAGATTTCTGTAAATGCTTTTTCAGAACATGACCTCCAATCAACAGTATTGTCTGTCCCAATTCCATCAGAATATGTGTTTATTCTTAAATAACTGTCCTAACTTAATTCTATTTCCCCAGCTTTCCAAGATGCCTACAATTTCTTTAACAAGGATAAAACTGGCTGTATTGATTTACATGGAATGATGTGCACTTTAGCTAAGTTGGGAATGAATCTAATGAAGCACGATGTCTATAATGAATTAAGATGTGCTGATATTGATCGTGAGTACTTTGACTTGCCATTTTTTATAAAGATTTTTATAAATACATTTTTTCTCAGACTATATAAACATGAGAAGTAAGCCTCATTTATTTGCCAAAAGTACATATATGTGTTTCTCTTTAAAGTTATCAGTGAGGTATGTGTACAAGTTATGAAATTGAATTAAAGCTACAAAATGGGCTAGTTTTTGAAAAGGCCTGTGTGGAAACCAAAAGTGACTGTTGTATTTAATATCAAATTCAGATTACCTGTCATAATATACATTTTGGAGAGTACCTTGAAATAACAGAAAGACATTGACAATTTCAAAAATAACCTGTTTCTGTTACCCAAAAACTGGACTCGCCTCTTACTGGGTGTTGAGCCAAAAGACACAACCAAGCCTAAGAGCAGAAGAAGGGAGGATTCATTACTTGCAATAAGTAAGGAGAACACTGAGGATATTTCCCAAAGCAATTTCTCCCCAACTGCAATACTGGAGATGTTTTAAGCTAAGGTTGCATACCTATTCATTGAGGGGCTTGAGCAAAGGAGAATGCAGCATAGAATTGGGGCAAAGGTCAAATAGAGCCCAGGCTCTAGTTGATGGAGGTCATGATGGTCAGCAAAGGTCGGCATCTACCATCCTGAGGCTCTAGGTAGTCTGGTGGTTTAGAGCTCAAGGGGGTTTGGATCCTGGGAAACAGCTCAAGAATGTGCTTCGGGCTAATCTTTACCTTAGAAACTGAACTGGGAGTCTTTACAATTGATATATTATCTCCTGGTAATACCTGTTTGTTCTTACATTCTTCATTCCTTTAAAATAATTATCTATGTAACTCAGCTGGTAAAGAATTGCCTGCAATGCAGGAGACTTGGGTTCAATCCCTGGGTTGGGAAGAACCCCTGGAGAATGGAAAGGCTACCCACTCTGGTATTCTGGACTGGAGAATTCCATGGACTGAATGGTCCATGGAGTCAAAAAGAATCAGACACGACTGAGTGACTTTCACTCACTTCACTAGAATATAGCATATTCTTCTACAAGGACAAGAACTGTGGCCAGATTTAGATGACAAAATGGCTTAGGCCTAAAGTGACTTCTCTTATGTCAAGATACTTAGGTCTAGTTTTCTTCTTCCCAGAATCCTCTACCATATCTGCCTGCATTACCAAGGATATCCAAGCCCTTTGTTTCTGTTTTAATCATAATGGTATAATTCTTCCTTCCATCACTAGAGCCACCTATATTGAATCTTAAATGCCACAGCACTTTTACTGATATTTTTTAAAGCATGTAAGTAGTGTTTTCTTTGAATAGTAGTGATTAGTAGCCCAAGCTAGTATGTTGTGTGGAATAAGTATTCAGCACAGCACCTTTTCCCACCACACCCCACTCACCGGCCAGTGTCCCAGTCAATCGGCAGCACCCTTGATGGGAGTCAGTCACCATTTAATTCAAGGGTCACTTGTTTCCACTAACTCTGCCCGAGTTTTTATCCTTTCACTGAAACACACTCCAATAGCACTTGTTATCCTTTAATTTTAGAGGAAAGGGGCACAATTCAGGGATAGCCTAATAATAAAATATAGAGGTGGATGTGAAATGGGAAGGTGAATATAGCCTTGTTCTGATCCTTGGATCTCTGTTGCAGAGGATGGGAAGGTGAACTTCTCAGACTTTCTAAAGGTGCTAACAGATAAGAACCGCTTCCTCAAGGCTGTGGGTAAGTATGTTGCTGAATAGATGGCAGTGGAGGTAGTTGCAGTTCACTGCATAGTAAATAGTGTTCCTTTAGACCTCCAATCAGGAAGGCGTAGTCTGGGATGTGATTTACTTTTGTACTGCTCCTCTTAAAACAAAGTTTGCTAAGGAAATTGATACAGTTTTAGAATTTTAACTTAAATCCATCAAGTCCTTCTCCAGGAGACACTACTGTTTGGACTTCAGTGAGAACAGTCAGGCAGTGGTGTAGAAAATTTTGGTCACCTTTTATATTTATATACCACTCTGGTATTCTTGCCTGGAGAATTCCATGAACAGAGGAGCCTGACAGGCTATGGTCCGTGGACTTGCAGAGATGGACACGACTGAGCAACCAACACTTTATATTACTTTAATTCTTTACCAAATGCATGTGCTACTTTGGGAGGTATTACTCTTACAAAAGAAAAATGTATACATATAGCACTCTAAATGTTTGGGCTTCCCCAGTGGCTTGGGCAGTAAAAAACCTGCCTGCAATGCAGGAGACCTAGGTTCGATCCCTGAGTTGGGAAGACCCCCTAGAGAAGGAAATGGCAACCCACTCCAGAATTCTTGCCTGGAGAATTCCATGGACAAAGTAGCCTGGTGGGCTACAGTCCATGGGCTAAGCAACCAACACTTTCGCTTCATATATTTTTAGAAAAATGCCGTCTCTCTCATGCATATTTGTGTATAGATAATTCACTATTCCTGAAAAACATCCTCACCCCAATAAACCTCTGCCCTCAGTGTGAGAGCAGGAGAGTCTGCTGGAGGTTCCAGAACATGTTCTCACATAAGGTTTAAGCAACTTGGAGATATACTCAAATTATTGCTATTAGTTCCCTAATGGTTTGTTTATGAGTTTAACAAGCTGCCTTGGAAAATCTGACCTTATTCATATCATGTTTTCCCGATAAATACATTCCAAATTCCAGATACTGTATACAGTTTTAAAAAAGACATCCTTTCATAAGCTATGAACTGTCTTAGTATAAACAGAAGTTACTGTTTCAAGTATCGCTATAGTAACAAGGGTTTGCCTGCACACCAGAGTTATGTTTATCAACAGTTCCTTTTCATAGATGAACAGAATAGTCCTTAACACATAATTCATGTTTATGTTAAATGTATTACTACATTTACTTAGAAGTCACTGAACTAAAAGTATTTCATTTTAAATCCCATGATTATTTTGTCTGTTCAGTAATCAAAATGACCTTCCTGCCAAACAGAACAGACTTTGAATGTTTGTTTATAATTCTTTAGTTTAACTTTGTTTTAATATTGTATATACAGTAAAATGACTGTCACTTTAACACTTTTTATAATTTTTTTTCAGAAGGCATTTTGAATTTTTTTTTTCTCTCCATAGTTCCAGAAAAGGAGACCTGTTTAGATTTAGTTGGCAACCCAGGAATCCTGTTGTTTGAAATCCTATCAAAGCTTATAGAGACTTCAGCCTTACCCAAAAAGGCAATATCGGAAATAGTAAGGTAGGTGGCAAAGGAAGAAAAATGACCTCAGCAACACTTAGGAGGATTCTGCAAGGCAACTGCCTCTCCCTGACATCCTAACATCGCCACAGATCTGCCCCAAAACAAGGAGAAGGTGTACAGGCAGCTAGCTGCTCATGTGCCACAACATGAGACCTCACAGCGCTGCCTAGGTCTGAAACTGCGAGGCTGATTCAGACCATCTTAGGACCCCACTGAGAGCCTAAGGTAGCCCAGAAAGTTCAGCTTTGGAAGTTCCCTGGTGGCCTGGTGGTTAAGATTCCAGGCTTTCAGTGTGGTGACCCAGGTTCAATCCCTGATAAGGGAACTGAGATCCTGCAAGTCCAGCAACATGACCAAAAAAAAAATTCAGCTTCTCCTACTCTAGGCTAGAAAAGTGCAGAGGAATAAGACTGTTCTGGAATGATTTGGGGTGAGCTTGGAAACTGAGTTTGAATATAAGATACTCCCATTCACACTGGGTCTCTCAGGAACTCTGATAGGTCCTCCGGGACAAAGTACAGCAACGTCACACCTCCTAAAGTAGTGTTTGCTCTGGAGCAGAGCCAGAGTTAGACTTAGAATAGGGTAAGGAAACATTCCCACACCCAAATGCGTTTATTCCAGCAAATGTCACTGAAGCTACATTTCCTCAATACAGTTCTATCATGGTACTGCAAAAATTAAATGTTGCCATTATCAGTCTTTTCAAAGCATTCTACTTTGAAAAGCATTATTCTTTCAAATCGTTCTACTATCCCACTTAAAGAGATCTAAAAATACAGAATACCACCAACAATGTAAAATATCCTCTGCTCAACACATAATCTCTATATACTGTCCCACATCTTGATCAGATGTAGAACAGAGGGTGTGCAACATTCTACACTTTATTCCAAGTCAGATACATTTGTTAAATCCCTGATATTGGTACACAAATGTATCACATTCTTAACCTCTCAGCCTCAGTTTCCTCACCTGTAGAATGAGAATAATAATACCTGTAACACAATTATAGAGCAATTGTAAGGATATCTGGTAATGCAGGTACAGTGCTTAGCAAACATAAGACCTCAATGAATGTTAACTATTATCATTATGTGTCATGTATATGGGCTTCCCTGGTGGCTCAGAAGGTGAAGAGTCTACTGCAATGCAGAAGACCTGGGTTCAATACCTGTGTTGGGAAAATCCCCTGGAGAAGGCAATGGCTACCCACTCCAGTATTCTTGCCTGAATTCCATGGACAGAAGAGCCTGGCAGGCTACAGTTCGTGGAGTTACAAGAGTTGGACATGACTATGCGACTAACATTTTCACTTTCAACTATGTATATAAGCATAGAATATACATATTATCTATTTTAATCCTCACATACATGGCAACGAAGATCCCACATGCTGCAACTAAGACCCAGCACACCCAAATTGAAAAAAAAGAAGAAGAGAATCAAGATAGTAAGGAATCGAGAAACCAAGGCCACAGAGAAATTCAACAGGATAGGTTTTACACCAGTATTATTTTTTTTTGTTGTTAGCAGTATTTGTATTTTTATTGTTTTTGTTTGTTACAATTGCTATTTGTAGAATAAAATACTAATACATACCTGTTTTTTTAAGTATACAAAGTAAATGAAGTCATTCGATCATCCTAATCTCATATCTGAGGGATAAGCTACTGTTCACTATTAAACCTTCTTCCTTAATTTTTTTTGTTTTTTTTTCATTCTATTTAATTTTTTAATGCATATAAACAATTTTATTTTATTATTTTTATTTATTTATTTATTTTCTTTTCATTTGTTTTTATTAGGNAGGCTAGTGAGATCAGAAGAAGCTGAAACTTGAATGGCTTCAGTAGAGAAGGTCAAGAAGCAAGCCAGTTCTCACTGCAGAACATTGAAACACTCAGGAACTGAGACACTGGGAACCTCTAAAGGCAGCAGAAGTGTAGGGAGCCCAAAATAGAAATACTAGTTAAAAGTAGCATTGAGAAGATTGACCCTTAGATTCCTCTCTCTTATCCCACACAACCAAGTGACTGCTTGGCAGTTAACTCTCTGAAGAGGTTCTACCAGAAAGATTGTTTGGGCTCAGGGAGGTCAGACATAACTGAGGATGAGGGTATCAGTGAAAACAGGGTTACATGAAAGTCCACTTACTGAATCACTGTGAGACTCTACCAGCCACCTTCCCCTTCCCTAAGTCTCATTAACAGCTAGACTTTTATACCAGATAAAATGTTAGAGGACCCCTCTCAGAGAAATTGACTAGACAACCACAGAGAGAAAAAACCCAGACAGCCACAGTTAAAAGACCCTTAATGAAACAATGCTCCAACCAGTTACCTGACAGTAAATTTCCTACTCAGTAAGACCCACCACACCAAAAAGCTTCCAGTTGGCCTTAAAGAGTATTTATTCTCACTCTTAAGTATGAATAGACATCCAAAGATCAAGTGATAGTTAAGGAAAACCTGAGTTAGTGAAGAAAGATTGAAACAGGAAAAAGGAAGGAAGGGAAGGAGGGAAGAAAGGAAACACTTGTAAACATAACCTGGTATATAATTATCAGATAAAGATTAGAGTTTCAGGGAAGGGAAAGTGTAGACTAGAACAGCAGTTTTCAAACTCGGGCTTGCATCAAGATCACCTAGAGCAATTGTCAAACCACATCACTGGACTCCAGGGTTTCTGATTCAGGAGGTTTGTGTGAGGCCCAAGAATTTATATTTCTAGGAAGTTCCCAGTGCTACTGGTGCTGCTGCTGGTTTGAGGACCACACCAGAGCCATCAAGACTGTAGGGGTTCCTTTGAAAGAAAAGAAAGATGAGCCTTCAAGAACCTGGTAGGAATTAAATTACAGTGAGAGAAGCAAGCATTATTCCATATTCCGAGGCAAGTGAGAACATTGTGGATGGATGGATTCAAGACGAGGAGAGGAAGTACAAGTGGCTCAACATCAAAAAAACAAACAACCCTGCACTCCCCTGGTGGCTCAGTGGTGAAGAAACCACCTGCCAATGCAGGAGACACAGGTTTGATCCCTGATCCAGGAAGATCCCACATGCCACAGAGCAGCTAAGCCCATGCGCCACCGCTGTTGAGCCTATGCTGTGGGGCCCGGAAGCAGCAACTGCTGAGCCCATCCGCTGCAGTTACTGAAGCCCACACATCCTAGAGCCTGCGCTCAGCAACAAGAGAAGCCACCACAACAAGAAGCCTGTGTACCACAACAAGAGCAGCCCCTGCTTTCCTCAACTAGAGAAAAGCTTGTGCAACAATGAAGACCCAGCACAACCAAGAATAAATAAATAAAAGTTTAAAAAATCAACCCAATCAGAAAACGAGCAGAAGACCTAAATAGAAATTTCTCCAAAGAAGGCATACAGATGGCCAAGAAGCACATGAGAAGATGCTCAACATTGTTAATCATTAGAGAAATGCAAATCAAAACTACAATGAGATATCACCTCATATCAGTCAGAATGACCATCATCAAAAAGTCTACAAAAAATAAATACTGGAGAGGGTGTGGAGAAAAGAGAACCCTACTAAACTGCTGGTGGGAATTTAAACTGGTCACAGCCACTATGGAAAACAATATTCAGGTTCCTTAAGAAACTAAAACTAGAGCTACCATATGACCCAGCAATCCCACTCCTGGGCATATATCAGAGAAAAACCTGGTTTGAAAGGATATATCCAACATTCATTGCAGCACTATATACCTGGATGCAACAAAAATGTCCACTGATAGATGAATGGATAAAGAAGATGTGGTACATATATACAATGGAATATTACTCAGCCATTAAAAAGAATGAAATAATGCCATTTGTAGCAACATGGATAAACTTGGAGATTATCATACTAAGTAAGCCAGACAGAGAAAGACAAATATGATATGATATCACTTATATGTGGAATCTTTTAAAAATGACACAAATTAACTTATTTACAAAACAAACAGACTCACAAACTTAGAGAATGAGCTTATGGTTTCTGGGAGGAATAACAGGGGAAAGGAATAGTTAGGTAATTTGGGATGGACATGTACACACTGCTACATTTAAAATGGATAACCAACAAGGACCTACTATATAGCACATAGAACTCTGTTCAATGTTATGTGGCAGCCTGGATGGGAGGGGAATTTGGAGGAGAATGAATATGTGTATATGTATGAGTGAGTGCCTTCAGTGTTCACCTGAAACTATCACAACATTGTTTATTAATCGGCTATACCCCACTATAAAATAAAAAGTTTAAAATAGTAACCAACAAGGACCTACAGGGAACCCTGCTCAATACTCTGTAACATCCTAAATGGGTAAATAATATGAACAAGGATACATGTATATGGATAACTGAACCACTCTGTGGTACACTTGTAACTAACACAACATTGTTAAGCAACTATACTCCAATATAAAATACATTTTAAAAAAAAAGGTTAGGGAAGGAAGTATCTGATTACAAACCAGACTCCAATCAGAACACGATCAGCACATCTCCTACCCAACCACTGCTGCAGCTCTGATATTTAGAACGAGTTCTTTCCCTCTTCCTGAGAGGAAAAGAAAAGTTCCCCATCACCATCCCAGAGAGAAGTGAAGCCTCCTGATGCTGTAGTAGAAAGAAACCTATGAAGTAGTGAGAAGAAAGGTCCTGTATCTTGTTCTCTAGGACACTCCTCCACTCAGCACACTGTGAGACCTTCCACTTTGGTACTGAAGGCCCCACTGCAGCAAAGCAGTGGGAAACATGTTTTTCCACTCAGCAGTGAGCGACCAGATTCCCAAGGAATCTGACTTGTCACTGATATTCCAAACATACCTTTGGGGATGTTTATACTGTGAATTAGAGTCCTTTATCATATGTAGCCTGTGGTACATAAAGAATGTATAACCTAAAATGCATAGTAACATATCTCCTAAATATGTTCACACACATGACTGAACGTACACACACACATATGCACACACACACACACACACACACACACACACACATACAGATTGTAAAGAATTACAGTAGTGATTTACTCTGGACATTGTGGATAATAAGATTACTGGTAACATTTTCTTTATACTTTTCTAACTCTTCCAGATTTTCTGCAATGAGAATTTCTCTTAATTTAAAAAATGCTGCATTTTAAAACCCAACATAAAATTACTATATTATATACCTGTAGCATATGATATTGTACAGAAGCTGCACTTCAATTTTAAAAAACAAACCACAAAATAATATAATAGTAGACATGACTAATGTTTATAGTCAAGTTGATACCACTTAAGGGTTTGTCAGAGATCAAAACTGCTAGGTGTTTTTCTAGACAAGACTGGGAAGTCTTGGAGCGGAGGAAGGAAGACAGAGCCCAGAAACTGCGTGAATAAGTCATCAAATGGTCTGTGGAAAATGTCTGTAGATATTCTATAAATGTCACATAAATAATATTAAATGACTATACAAATTAAACTCAAACATATTCAGCATATATAACTTGAAAGTTGACTTCCTTTTCTTTCTGTCCAACAGTCAGGCACTTTTTAACCATCTCTGAATTACCTTTTTTTCCTAGCTATTTCCGAAGAAAATTCCAGGAAACCACCTCAGGAATGGTGTGGAGCCCCGATACTATGGGTTATGGAAAAAGGAGATTTAAGCCAGACATATGCACACCTCCAAGCTCAAGCACAGCTGCCTTCGCTAATGCTGCTCGGATTGCAATAATGAAAGAAAAGGATTTATTTAAATTTCTTGATGAGCTCAAAAGTAAGGGTCATTTGTCCTCTCCCCACTGTTGTAAAAGATGTATGTGTATGTTACTGGTCAGAAATAAATACTAGATGCCAAGTGCTTTAAGAGTAGGGCCACAGCCTATTCTGAGTGACTGGTCTGTCACACAGATATCGTTTGAAACAAATGTACATTTTACCTGAATCCCTAGACACCTGGATGAAGCTGTAAGTCTGTGGATGGGTGGGATGGTGGGAGCAGGAGAATGAAGAAGGGGTGGCAGGGCCACTGAGGAGATGAATAGGCAAAGAGCAAATTAGGCACCAGATTTATGTCTTCTATGGGAATTTCTTCTTACATTTTTCATGATACCAGTTTTTATCTTTTCAGAGTGCAATCCTCCTTCAGATAGCCCATACTCAAAAATACCCATCTTTCCACTGTTTCCTAATGTGGATGGAGTGGTAATGGGAAAGCCATTCAAAGACATACAAAAGTTAGAAATGCTGAAGAGAAAGGAGCCTCTGAATTTCTTTGAGAACTATTTTTTCCATAAAAAAGACTGGAAAACACAGGTGAGATTTGGATTATGTCATATCAGTTCAATATTTAGGTTTTTAAGTTGTAACTTAACAGAACTAGTAATGTGCTTATTAATGACAAATATTTTCAGTCATGATATTTCAAACCAGACTCCATAGCCATGTCCCTAAATTTAAAGTCCAGGTATAAATATTTCAAGGCTTCCCTCATAGTTCAGTGGTAAAGAATCCACCTGCCAATGCAGAAGACACATGTTTGATCCCTGGGTCAAGAAGATCCCCTGTAAAAGGAAATGGCAACCCACTCCAGTATTCTTGCCTGGGAAATCCCATGGACAGTGGAGCCTGGCAGGCTATAGTCTATGGGATCACAAGAGTTGGACATGACTTAGCGACTAAACAACAACAATAAATATGTCATTTAATTTAAACAAATCATTAAAATTGCTGAAAAAATGTATAATACTATAATTCTAATCTATATAAATGTTGATTATAAACCAAGGAATGAAAAAAAAAATTAAAAATAAAAAAAATAAAATAAACCAAGGGATGAAACTTTCAAGTTTCAGGGACTTCCCTAGCAGTCCAGTGGTTAAGACAACATGCTTCTGCTGCAAAGGTCATGGTTCGATCCCTGGTTGGGAAACTAAGATTCTGCATGTATGTGGCACAGTCAAAAAATAAAAAATAACTTAAAAATTCTACATGGCAAGAAAAGTCACATTTGCAACTCATAATACAAAGAGCGAACTTTTCTAATATATCGGAGAGCTTCAAAGTGATTAGAAAAAACCTATATAAAAATGAGCAAAAGATATGAGCAGACAGTTCTTAGAAACATAAAAAGGTATTCAGTCTCACTCTTCGTAAAAGATCCAAATTAAAACTATCCTGAGATGTTATCTCTCCATATTAGATTGCCCAAGCCCAAAAAGCTGGAAAACACCTGGGACATAAGACATAAGAGAGATAAAAGAGAGAAAAGAATACACATTTTATTAAATTTTACATATACCTGGGAAAATGAAAACCCAAAGAAGCAATTAGAATTAAACATTTATATACTGAAATAAAAAAAGAAGTACTGGTTTGGAGAGTATCAGACAATAAGAACTAAAATACTACACCATGCTAACATGGAAGATGAAGAGGGTGGTGCTCAGAATGAAAGCTAAGTTCTTTTTATTGTTTGGGGAGAGGCTTATGATAGATTAAATCTATAATTTGTTGCATTAATGGTAAATGTTAAAAGTGTGAAGATAATCAGTAAAAACTAAAATGAATATTGCCAAACCATAGAGGAATAAAAAAATTAAGAAAAAAGAGAGAACATGGAAAAATAGAAAGTACGAAACAAAATAGGCATAAAAATCCAAATATATCAGTAACATAAGAAATGATTAAAGACACCAGTTTAAAAAAAAATAATAAGGGGAAGGGAGGAAGGAAGGAAGAAAGAAATATTTTCAAGTTTAAAAGAAAGGGTGCTGATTTTTTTTAAGTAGTTTTAAGATATATATCATTTTACCTAAATTATGACACAGAAACTTGAAAATAAAGGGACAGAAGAAGATATATCAGGCAAATACAAATCAAAATAAGCTGTTATCCATATGTTGGGGGGAGAAAATTTAAGGAAAATATAAAGATAAATATGCTATTTATCTTAAAATCTTAGAATCTCAAAAATAAAACAGACACAAATTCACAGATACAGAAAACAGTTTACCAGGAGGGAGAAGGATGAGGACAGGAGCAAAATAGGTAACGGATAAACCACTAGATATAAAATAAGTTACAAGGATGTAGTGTACAATACAGGGAGTATAGCTAATACTTTATGATAACTTTGTATGGGGTATAATCTATTAAATGTTGAATTACTGTTTGTACCTTTGAAACTAATATAGAAAGTCAACTATACTTCAGTTAAAATTTTTTTTGATCATCAGGAAGATAAAACTATTCTGAATCTGTATATACCTAACAAATTGACAAATAAGGTGATATTTAACAGAATAATAAGGATTAGCTTTAGACTTTTTAAGGCACTATACATGGTAAAAATAAATATTAAATGAATAAGCAAATCCACAATCACAGTGGAAGGTTTTTATCATGCCTCTTCAGAAACTGATGATGCAAAGGAGCAGTGGGGAGGGGGGGATCAAATCCTCCTACAAAAATTTAACTTTTTGTGACAGGAAGAGAAACATGAAACTATAGCTTGATGGAGAATCAGAGTCTATAAAAATCTGTTTCAGGATGTAAGAGATGAGCACTTTTGTAGCCAGGAGGAAGAACCCTTAGAACTCTGGTTCTCAATCTTGGTTGCACAACAGAACCCCCAGGGAGAGCTTTTACAGTCCTGCTGCCCTGGTCACAACTCAGCCTAGTTAAATCAGATCTCTGGGAATGAGGCCCTGGCCTCAGGATTTTTTAAAGTTCCACTATGCAGCCAAAGCTGAAAACCACTGCTTAAAGAGAAACTGAAGATGTTTGACGATGTAGAAGAGAGGCAAGACTGGCTACATGACTGGCTAGGCCCAGTGCAAAATGAAAATATAGGGTTCCTTGTCCAAAAATAGTTAAAAATTTAAAAACAGCAACGTAAAACATTAAACCAAACTCAGGGCCCTTCTAAATACAAGGCCCTGTGTACTTACACAGGCCATACACCCATGAAACCAGCGCTGGAAAGAAGTAAATTGGAGGGAGGTGAATAAATAAAGATATACAAAGAGACCTTGAAAATTAGGAAAAACTCTCACATATAAGAGGGAAGGAGGAAGAAATGAGTGAAAGGATGGAGAAATCCTAAGGTGGAAAGAAGAGCAAAAAGAATTCATGTCAGATAGACTTGAAGAGACAAGATCATTAGCTAGGGGAGTTTAAAGGTTTGGTTTTCTAGCAGCCTCTGTAAGAGCTGAAAATGAAGAAAAGTAATGTCAGGCAGTCCTGAGGACCTGGATGAGCCTGGGTCGTACACATTTTCAAAGAAAGCAATCTGAATATTTGTATGATTTCCAGCAACGCTGTTCAGCAGCCCAGGAACAGGGTAAAACAGATGGCTGGTTCCCTGTGAGAATTTTGGAAGTAGTACAGGTTGTGCTCTGTGGCGGGCACAGTCATTTTCAGTGCTTTGGAAGTTTGAGTGAGGATGGAGTTAGTGCCTCTCTACTCCCTACATCCATCCCAAACATAAACCATCCTCTGGTCTATACTTGTCTTATGACTAGGCTTCACTATTAAGAAAGAGTTTGCTCGATGCCCATTTACACATGGCACTATACCAGGTGCCCTGAAACAATTGACAAGTGGTGTAGAAATAATCTTATAAATCATATACACACCCTTTCATAATACAGTATATTTCTGTGTATTTTGTCTTTGTTATACAATTCAACTAAAATATGTTACTAACCTTCTTTTTTAAATGTTTATAAAGGCAGCAAATATAAAACCTGTTGACCCTACCTCAGGCTACCCAAGTGATATCCTCACCATTGATCAAATACTCAAGAAAAAGCAGAAATGGACAGTGGCTGATGCAGCTGCTATTAAACCACATGTGAGTATCCACTGTTTAATGCCTTCCCAGAAACCATTGACCAAAATGCTTTCCACTTCATCACTACAACCATAGAACTTCCCTGGTGGCTCAGCGGTAAAGAATCTGCCTGCAATACAGAAAACACAGGAGACACCAATTTTATCCTTGGGTCAGGAAGATCCCCTGGAGGAAGAGATGGCAACCCACTCCAGTATTCTTGCCTAGAAAATCTCATGGACAGAGGAGCCTGGCAGTGGGCATGGACCCATGGACATGGGGTTGCAGTGGGTTGGACATGACTGAGCACATACACACTACAACCATAAAACCAAGATTTTTTTTTCTGTTCTCTGTCTTTAAGACCAGATCATTTCTCATTTTCATCCATTGTAATGATATTTCTTGCTCTGTAACCAAATGTGTTCAAATTGTATAATTTATCCTGCTAATCATCTTTGGGGGCTTCCCACATGGTTCAGTGTGGGAAGAAGAATCCACCTGGCAATGTGGAGTCATGGGTTTGATCCCTGGGTCAGGAAGATCCCCTGGAAAAGGAAATGGCAACCTACTCCAGTGTTCTTGTCTGGGAAATCCCATGGACAGAGGATCCTGGTGGGCTACAGTGCATGGGGTCCACAAAAGAGTCAGACACGACTGAGCAACTAAACAACAATCGCCTTTGGAGCTGAACCCATCATCATTTCTGGGGCATTCATTTGTTTCATACTGGAGACATCAACTAGTTAAGGTAGTAAACCAGCAGTCACAGTGAGGGGTGTACTCAGGAAGGGAATTGTGATGATTGACTGCATCTTTATTATGGCAGCTAAAAGAATAATAGTAATAGTAGTTTAATTATGCTTCCTAGGTGCCAGGCAGTGTGCTCTATAAGTTCTCTACAAGTGCTTTATAGGTTCTAATTCATTTACTTACCACAACAAACCTTTGAGTTAGGCACTGTTACTCCTTGTCATTTTATCATTATGCACAGAGAGGTTACATGATTTGCCCAAAGGCACACAGCTAGAAAGTAACAGAACCAGAATTAAAAGCATGGGTAACTTGGATTCTGAAGAATCCACACTTTAACCACAACTCTGTGCTGCGTGTCTGCTTTTCTGCCCTCACTTCTTAGCAAATTTTGTCTCCCAGAAAGAAACTGTGGTGTATTTATTTTATGCCAGCTCCCTTCCGCATTTGACACTAATGGTCAAGCTCTCCGAGACACATTCTACTTCCTTAGCCTTTACGATGGGGCTTCCCTGGTGGCTCAGATGGTAAAGAATTGGGAGAAGGAAATGGCTACCCATTCCTAGTACTCTTGCCTGGAGAGTTCCATGGACAGAGAAGCCTGGGGGGCTACAGTCCAAGAGGTTGCAGAGAGTCAGACACACCTCAGCAACTAACACTTTCACTTTCTTAGCCTTTACAATACTGCATCTTCAATTCTTTGTGTATCTCTGTGTCTTTCCTCTCTCTTCTTTTTCCTGAGGTTCACCCTTTTTTTCTATAGTGAAGTACAGTTGATTTACAGTGTTTGAGCTATACATCAAAGTGATTCAGTTATACATACACATATAAATATATTCTTTTCCAGATTATTTTCCATTATAGGTTACTATAAGATATTGATTATAGTTCCCTGTGCTATAAAATAGGTCCTTACTTTTTATCTATTTTACATATGTGAAGTCACTCAGTCGTGTCCGACTCTGTGACCCCATGGACGGTAGCCTGCACCAGGCTCCTCCGTCCATGGGATTTTCTAAGCAAGAGTACTGGAGTGGGTTGCCATTTCCTTCTCCAGGAATCTTCCCGACCCAGGGATCGAACCCAGGTCTCCCGCATTGTAGACAGATACTTTACCATCTGAGCCACCAGGGAAGTCCTTAAAATAAGTAAGTAAGTAAGTAAGTGTTAGTTGCTCAGTTTTGCCCAACTCTTTGTGATCCTATGGACTGCAGCCCACCAGGCTCCTCTGTCCATGAGATTTTCCAGGCAAGGATACTGGAGTGGGTTGCCATTTCCTTCTCCAGGGAATCTTCCTAATCCAGGGATTGAACCTGGGTCTCCTGCACTGCAGGCAGATTCTTTACCGGCTGAGCTACAAGGGAAGCCCCAAAAAGGATTGCTCCTGTGGCCTGTATGGGGAATGAACCTGCGACCTTGGTGTTATCAAGTGGTGTGTATCTGTTAATCCCAAATTCCTAATTTACCCCTCCCTCCTTTCCCCCTTCAAACTTTGGTAACCATAAGTTTGTTTTCTATGTCTGTGAGCCTATTCCTATTTTGTAAGTAAGTAATCCATATCGTCTTTTTAGATTCCACATATAAGTGATATATAATATTTGTCTTTCTCTGTCTGACTTACTTCACTCAGTATGATAATCTCTAGGTCCATCCATGTTGCTGGAAATGCCCTTATTTCATTCTTTTCTATGGTTGAATAGTATTCCACTGTATATATATAAACCCATATCTTCTTTATCCATTCATCTGTCAGTGGACATTTAAGTTCCTTAAGTCTTGATATTTCCTAGTTTTCTAATCTCATCTTACTGCTCTTATTATACACATTCATTTGTTCAGTAAATATTTATCCAGTGTTAACAAGGTTCTGAGATTAGGAGATACCACAAAATAAAAAACACCATTCCTACCCTCAATCTTTCTACACTCTGATTCTCCTTGTTTCAGCTGCCACTTAAATGCCTGATCAGTCTTAACTGTCACTGGCCTAGACATCTTTCCAGTACTGCCTCAGCTCACTGATTACCTGCTGAGCATGTTTACCCTGCTGTCTCACAGCATATCAAGCTGGACACGTCCAAAAGCAAACTCATCATCTTATACATCAAACTGGCTCTTCCTTGAGGATTCCATACTACCATCTCCCTAGGCACTGAGACTTGAGGCCAGGAGCCATCCTTCAGTTCAGTACAGTTGCTCAGCCATGTCCGACTCTTTGCAACCCCATGAACCACAGAACACCAGGCCTCGCTGTCCATTACCAGCTCCCAGAGTTTACCCAAACTCATGTCCATTGGGTCGGTGATGCCATCCAACCATCTCATCCTCTGTCATCTCCTTCTCCTCCTGCCCTCAGTCTTTCCCAGCATCAGGGTTGTTTCAAATGAGTCAGCTCTTCGCATCAGGTGGCCAAAGTATTGGAGTTTCAACTTCAACATCAGTCCTTCCAATGAACACCCAGGACTGATCTCCTTTAGGATGGACTGGTTGGATCTCCTTGCAGTCCAAGGGACTCTCAAGAGTCTTCTCCAACACCACAGTTCAAAA